TCCTTCACACAGAAAAACTAACTTTTCAGCGCGCTTTGAGTCTGTCTACGGTCTGATTGGTCAGAATTCCAATCCAATCAGAAGTGGTTTACATCGTGTTACATTATATAAACAGGAAATGAAGAGCCTCTTCAAAGTAAAACAGGAAATGGGTCAATTTCAAAATAAAATAAGAATTAGGAGTCAGATTCTAAAAGGAACAAATATTATTCCACAACACACATTAATAAAAACATTCATAATCTTTGACCGAAAACAGTAATAATAATAACAGTTTTTTTGTGTGTGTTTACAAGATAAACTAAAGTTTTCCAGTTATATAACTCACCCGACATCTCCCCCTCTCAAAAACGTCCTTCCTGGTCTAAACGACCCGTACAAGAAACTCGGTTTTGGTCCATTCAACAACCGATGTGAACTTTGTTTTAGACAAAGCGGTCCTGTTGGCCGTCAAGAAGTCGATTTTTTCCCCACAAATCCAGCCAGGATCCAGTTTTTGCCCCGTCACTTTTTACCAGCGGGGTTAGCTAAAAGTTAGCTAAACAGGAAGTACAAGCCGCGACAACACGCGTGCGCGTTAACCGACGATACAAAATCACAGCGCCAACTAATGCCCCGACATGACAACTACAGCACTTGACCCGCTTTTGAAAGGAATACAATATATGAGGAACACATCTCTACAGTTTCATAATGTAAACAAATCTCTGAAGATGAAATGTTTTCAGTTTAAAAAACAGTAAAATAAAATATAATAACATCAGATGCTTTAGTTTCTATGAAACCAGATGTTAACAATTCAGAAATACATTTCAAGCCATAAAAAATACAACTTTGGGAGAAAAAAAAAGCGCTCATTTAAAAATTCTATCATGTAACAACAGAAAGTTATCAATGAGATGGCTGATTCACAATCAGATGGTCAATAATTCTTGTAATGGAAATGATTCATGATATATCAAAGCTCCAAATATGACCTAAATAATTCCTAAACACAAATATAAACTGCCACAAATGCACTATGTTTATATTTTTATAGGCTGTACTCTGTTATTACAAGGGAGCTTTGCATTCATTTATATACATTAGATAATAATGCCACTGTTTTTTGACCCATGATTTTTTTGTCATGTGTCAACACGGGGGAGGTATCTTATAATGCATTTTCATATATAGAAGAAAAAAAATTATGTATAAAACTGTACAGGCAACTGAAATTTTAGACGTACACCTAAATTGGCAGAAGTGTACACAGACAGCCAATACACTGCTGACCTCTAAGACCAGTGACACTGCAAAAGAACAATTTTACTGTCTCCTGATCTCCTCTTTCCACAGAAGATATCACAATCCAGCCAGCAGATTTGGGTCTTTATTAAGGTCATCAAAAGGAAAATGTGGGACCACACCAAATCCTACTGATCACGCCAAACGCTGTAAAGGTAGCGGAAAGATCCAGTTGGATCCATCATAAGCCATTGAAAGTTGCAGAAAGTGTTAGACTCTTAATCGACCAGGGTGTTTGAAAAAGTCTGACCACAAAGGGACACACTGTTTAGGGTGTGTCATCTCGACGTCATTGAAGAAACCAATGCTGTGTGCAGCATTCTGCCCCAGCCCTACGCCCTGAACAGGCACATCAGAGCTCCTAACATTTCTGTATATCTAGCAACAATGAGAGCATCACAGCCAAGGTGGACTCTCTGTTGTGTTGTGGCTATAGCATGTCACGTAGTCAGAGGTGACCTCACTGATTTGCTAAAACCTGATCTAGAACACTCTCATGACTACAGCACCAACCTATGGTGGCAGCTGATGAACAAAACCGCTTATGAAGGAAAGACTACTAATTGCTATGTATGTGCTCATCTATCCTATGCCACCCACAATTCAGGTTTGCGACCTGCAGCTGTGTCTACAGCCCAACAAGCATGTCTATATGGCCTGAGCACCCACCCAGGAACAAGCAGCTGGGCAAAATGAAGCTATACAACGCCACTATCCAGAAAGGTGAAGGGTATGCACACAGACTTACACAGACGACTAGCCATGGTAATTGTGGGATACAACTTCACGTCAAATTGTAGCATCACTGATGTCATCCCCCTACTACAGATGTCCATCAAACTGCCTGAACTGATCACATTGACAAATTTGCCAACAGGCACCCTGGGATACTGTGTTTTCAACAATGGTACTACTTCTGTAGGATAGGTGCCCTGGAATTTATGTGAAAAGGTGTATACCTTCTGTGACATCGACCGGCCACACAAAGGTAAACCTACTTACCTGAATTGTGTTTTTTGCAAAGCAGGCTATTATGCCAATATTCAGGGGATCCCCAGACACCACTGCACAGAATCAGACAATGTCACCGATTGCACAGACCTCCTCCACCAACGGACCTTCAACATCAGCCTACCACCAAGAGGACGCCAGAAGACCACCCACTGCAGCATTGTAGTGCCAGGTGACAAAGGTTCTCACGTGTTAATTGACTGGTATTTCTTATGTGGACACAGAGCCTATACAGCGTTACCGCCAAATTGGGGGGGCCTTTGTGCCTTGGTTCCCCTGTCAAACCCTATGATCATGCTAAGGAAAGCACCAACACCTCCAGCTCGCAGGATGGAACGCTCTCCAATGCCAGAAGTGACCAGGTGGGGAGGGCTTACCACCAACACTGGTGTCCCATGGGAATTCAAGGTCTGGAAAGGAGGAGAAAATTTTTTCCAAGGACTCTTTCCATGGGTAAGAGTTGGTGAAATACGAGCCCATGTTGAAATCAACCGGTACGCCCTCCTCCGCCTTATCAATGACACATACAAACTGGCAAATGGAACCCAGAATGAGCTGAGCACCATGAGGCAAATGATTCTACAGAACTGAATCATCCTTGATCTGCTGACTGCGTCACAAGGAGGTGTGTGCAAAATCATTGGTGAAACATGCTGTACTTATATACCAGATCAATCAGGTTCTGGAGGAGACATCTACGACGTACTGCATGACCTAACTGACCTTAAGAGATATGTTGAGAGCGGGACCAAAGGAGCAGAGCCTTTCGAGTTGTGGTCATGGTTCACCTCTGGACCTTGGTGGCATTTATTCCTCAAAATTCTTACCCCATTTTTTGCAGTATTACTTCTATTCTATATATTTTTTGGCTGTATCGCACCTCTTCTAAAACACATGATGAAAGTTTTTACAGGCATTCTTATCAATTTGCATCTAGCTAAGATGACCCATGATGATGACTGAAAATGTGTAACAAAAAGGATATGCCTGTTCTCATTCCAGCCCCACCAGTATAAAAATAAATATAATGTGTTTTTATTTTTTATTTTATGTTTTGGCGAGCTCATAAAGAGCTCAACTGTAATTTTTTCTTTCATGAGTTCTTTTTGGTTTAAAAAATGATAAAAAGGGGGGAAATGTTAGAGTTTTTCTCTGTTATCATTTTAAAATGATTTCTATCTCATTATATAATATCTGTTTTCACATGTTCTGAACAAAAAGTTCATTTCTTAGGATTTAATCTTGTTGTTGCTGAGTGGAAGTTTCTGGAAAACCTACTTTTACATCAAGTGAATGTTTTATCAAGGAACAATCTGTACAAGCTAAATCTTCTGAAATTTTTTGACTGCCATCCTGATTTTTGTACATGTAAACTTGACCTGTTTTCATGCCCCACGTAACATAATAAATACTGGACTCACCCAGCAAACGACAGAGTTCACTCTGACCTAGTCGGTGACTCTCACCTTTGCAAAGGTACTGAGCGCTAAAAAATCACCTCGCCGTGTTGTGTGAAGTTATTATCTTTAAAGGTTAAACAGAAAATACCTATTAGTTACATCATCAACTAGAACTAGAAGCCTGTTAACTAGTATCTGATATATGTACACATAAATGTAATTTTACATGTTTCTAACATGATTTTAGTTAATGTTGACCCCACGTTAGCAGACTGAGAAGAAGACAGAGCCACGTGTATAAAAAGTGTTTTGTATTTACAGGTGAAGGTGTTCTGGAATCTTTGTATTTCCTTGGATTTAGAATAATGATTTGGTTTTGAAGGAAGTCTTTTCTTACTGATGTTGTGTCTTGTAGATGGAGCCAGAGAGGAGGGAGAGACAGGGTCCAAGGTTTCCACAGGAGAGTGGATAATCCAGAGGAGGTGAGTATCAGTGGAGAGAGGAGCAGGTTGTTGTTTGAATGGTTGAAGGGACAAGATCAGATCGCAGCAAAGTCACAAGGAGCGAGGAGGTGTTGGGAGACTTGGAGATGCAAGACTTGGAAGTTGCTGAAGAGAATGACAAGGGTTAGTCAAAAACTGTTTAGAAACAAGTTTTAGGGTGCATTCACACTAGGCCTGTTTAGTCTGCTTTAATCGAACTCTAGCTCGTTTTCCTTGAAAGTCCGGTTCGTTTAGGGAGGTGTGAACGCGCCATCGAACTCTGTCAACAAAAAGGCGAACTCTGGCCCGGGCTAAAACCCATGTCTCGGTCCGGTAGAAGCGAACTCCAGCGCGGTTCGACTGCAGTGTGAACGTAATAGACCGAGCCCCGCTCTGCAGGGTAAACAAACACGCATTGCTCTGACCTTATATGGAGCCGTCAGCTGCCTTGTTGGGAAAAACAATATTCTCCATGTGAGCATGAGTATGAGCATGCATCAGGAAATATTCTCCATGGTCTTCTGTCTCATCTTCTGCTCATGCTAAGTCCATTTTTTAAAAATGACAAAATATAACTCCTAAAACTGCTAAAACTTGATGCCACTTCGTTTTTATTTTTATTTACAGAAGAAGAAGAAGACGTGTCTTCAGAGGTTTTTGTGTCGTTTCTTTCAGTAGTTCTTGGTGCAGCGCCCCCACAGGCGAGCGGGGGAATAGGTTGGTTCAACAGGTTGACTCGACTGCACAGTGCAGTGTGAATGCAAACGCACCAGCTCAAATGTAAACAAAAGCTCATGAATATTGTTCTCGAACTGAACCGAGTCTACCGGACTATCTAGTGTGAAAATGACCTTATTGTTGTCCATTAATTACCAAAAGTTGTGATAATGTCCCAGATCTGGAAAAAGGTCTGACAGGAGTTGAGGCTACATGAGGGGAAAAATACTGAGGAAGATGGAAACAGAAAAACTAAATACAAGAAGCACAAGAAAACCAAAACACACAGATCATAATAACATTATTGTGCAAATTACCTTGTTTTAATTAAAACAAAAGTTCAGCTATTCATTTTTTGTAAGATAGAAACTAGTTTTACGTTCACATAAGAATATGTATTGACTCTTTGCTGAAGTAAATTAAGGTTTGTTTCTAGTCCTGACTGTAAAAAAATGTTACACTTTTTGTGCTCTCATCACAACTCTAGGCACGAACCAGTGAGTTACACATTTGACACCTCGACAAATTTAAAGACGTGAAAATGACTCAAAGACAAACAACTGAAATTATCTCAGTTATATTTAATCTACAAAAATGAACAACAGAAGTTCTCAGAAATAAACGTGGCAGCTTGTAACAAGGAAATGACAGTAAAAAATAAAATAGTTATTGGTAACTCTAAAAATATCTGTGTGAGTGAGTGTGTGAATGGTTGTTGGTCTTGTTTGTCTCTGTGATGGACTAGAGACATGTCCAGAGTGTCCCCTGCCTCTCACACACACAGACTGCTGATCTAGGCACCAGCTCCCTGCAACCCAGAAAGGAAATGGATGGATGTTACTACAACTACATGAATGCACTTAGATCCCCTTCATCTGTTGTACTGAAAACTGTTAACATTTTTAAACCAGGTACAAAACACTTTACAATGAATAAATAAAAAAACAGTTCAAATGAACAGGAAATCATGTGATGTTGTGGTCAAAGCTGCTGCTGTGTGAACATTATATGAAGAAGGAGGAGGAAACACCAAGAGGCTGTACTCAGAACAAGAAGTCTGAAACAGCGTTGATGTCATTCTTGAATTAGATGTAACTTCTGCTTCTTAATGATTCCATTTCAAGCAAAGTCAAATATTTTCTGATCAGACGTGAAGTAGATCTGGATGTGAGGATGGGACACACTTTGCTCTGCATGCTGGGACTTCTCTGTAAGTAAATTATTGACTTTATTTAGTTTTATTTTTCAACTTGGTGCCTTAAGCAGCTGGAATCTTTAGAGTTGAGAAGTCGACAAAGTGATGACTATTATTTAAGTTATATATGTTTTTCAA